CCTGCTGTGTTCATCCAGCTCTACACCTTGTTACCTCAGATTCTCCAGCATCCGCAATGTTTCATTTTTATTAAAGAGTGTTCTCTAACAGGGAAGCCAGAATAAGAAGGTGCCTCTTTAAATACAGCTCAACCGTTCAGGAGTCAAATCAGGAAGTACTTTTAACAAAAATAATGTGAAAAGCAGGAGGTTGGAAATCTGGAACTCCCTCCCCTCAGAAAGCTTTTGGTGCTGGACAACGATCAGAGTTTGAAAGGTAGAGCTTACTAAGTTTGGATGGGCAAGGGTATCAAGGGATATTGAGGGAAATCTGATAAAAGGACTTGAAACCCAGGTGAGGCATTATACTTTGGAGCAGTTTTAATGCTTTCAGTAGGTTCCTCATATTTATACCTTCCATACTGCAAAAAAAAACAGAAGCAGAAGTGTTAATAAGGTTATTTAAGACAATTGGGGAAAAGCAGAGGATGATTTTTTATTTCATTTAAAAAAGAGAGACGAGCAGTTATGATCTGGAATGAATTACCAAAAAATTGGCTACAGAAGGTATTATAGTAATTTTCAACAAGGACTGGACACAGTAAAATTCACACTATCCAACACTCACCAAAACAAGTAGTGATAGCAAATAAAAAATGTCAGTTCATGGTATCTTAGAATCATTGAGTACAGAAGAGACCCTTTGGCTCATCAAGACTGTTAATGGAAGGTGCACAGATTTTCCTCAAAAAGCTCAAAAGGATTGATATTGGCGGAGCAGTAGACATTGTTTATTTGGATTTTGATAAATCCTTAGACAAGGTTCCGCATGGTAGACTGCTTAGTAACATGGTCATATGGTATTCAGGGTGAGCTTGCCAATTGGATACATAATTGGCTTAACGGTAGGTGATAGAGAGTAATGGTGGAGGGTTGCTTTTCAGACTGGGGGCCCGTGACCAACGTTGTTCCACAGGGATCGGATCTGGGTCCTCTTTTGTTGATCATATTCATATAAATGGTTTGGATTAGAATATAGAAGGAATGCTTACTAAGTTTGCAGATGACACCAAAATTGGTGGCATTTTGACAGCGAAGAAGGTTTTCTAAGATTACAGAGGGATCTTGATCAAATGGGTGAATGGGCTAAAAATTGGCAGATGGAATTCAATCTGGATAAATGTGAGGCATTACATTTTGGTATAACAAACAAGGGTAGGGCTTATACAATTAATCATAGGGCCTTGGGTAGTGTTGTAGAACAGAGGGACCTAGGGGTGCAGGTACATAATACTTTAAAGTTTCTGTCACATATAGACAGGATGGTTAAAAGGGTATTTGGCACGCTTTCCTTCATTGCTCAGTCCTTTGAGTATAGGTGTTGGGAAGTCATGTTGAGGTTGTACAGGACATTGGTGAGGCCTCTTCTGGAATACTATGTCCAGTCTGGTTGTCCAATTATAGGAAGGATATTATGAAGTTGGAGAGGGTTCAGAAGAGATTTACCTGGATGTTGCTGGGTATGGAAGGTTTGAGTTGTAAAGAGTGGCTGAATAGGCTGGGGCTTTTCTCACTGGAGAGTATGAGTTTGAGAGGTGACCTGATGGAAGTTTATAAATAATGAGAGGTATAGATAGACTTGATGATAATTGTCATTTCCCTAAGATGGGGGATTTCAAGACTAGGGGGCACATTTTACGGTGAGAGGAGAGATATTTAAAAAAGACATAAGAAGCAATTTTTTTACACAGAGAATGGTTCGCATGTGGAATGAATTTCCTGAGGGAGTGGTGGATGTGAGTGCAATTACAATATTTAAAAGACAGTTGGATAAGTACATGAATTGGAAAGATTTGGAGGTATATGGCCTGGAGCAGGCAGGTGGGACTAGTTTAATTTAGTATTATGTTTGGCATGGACTGGTTGGACTAAAGGGTTTGTTTCCGTGCTGTATGACTCTATGACCCTAAGTAGCATCCAAACGTGTCCTGCCAGTAATCAATGGGACTGGAGAGTCACAAATGATTTCCCTTTGAAAACAGATGAGATTTTGTTTCTCTCCCTAGAAAACTACGGAGATTGGGTAACTAAGTTTTTGATGGACAATGGAGTTAAGGTTTATGGAGTACAGCAGGAAAGTAGGGATAGACCACAAGATGTTGGAGCAGAAGTAGGCCATTTAGCACATTGAGTCTGCACTGCTATTCGATGAGATCATGGCTGAATTTATAATCTTCAACTCCACTTCCCTTGATACCCTTAAAATGAAACTGTAATCAGATCATTGATGCGGTTATTGTATAGCGGAGCAGGCTCAAAGGGCTGGGTGTTCTACCCGAGTTCCATGTTCCTACAGTCTCTGAATTCACAGGCATTGCTGGATGAGTTTGTCAACAGTGTGTGACCGGATATAAAGAGCACAGGATGCTTTTAGCTGTGCTGTTACTAAATCTTTCAAAGGCTTGCTGGAGCTTGTCGTGTTTTCATGCCAGCCCTGGATACTGGCTATCACTGGTTGAGCTCCCAGTTGGAGATGGGGCTGTGGAACTTTCCGGCGATGGAACAAAGAACAAAGAAAATTACAGCACAGGAACAGGCCCTTTGGCCCTCCAAGCCTGCGCCGATCCAGATCCTCTATCTAAACCTGTCGCCTATTTTCCAAGGATCTGTATCTCTCTGCTCCCTGCCCATTCATGCATCTGTCTAGATACATCTCAAGTGACGTTATCGTGCTCGCCTCTACCACCTCCGCTGGCAACGCATTCCAGGCACCCACCACCCTCTGCATAAAGAACTTTCTACGCATACCTCCCTTAAACTTTTCCCCTCTCACCTTGAAATCATGACCCCTAGTAATTGAGTCCCCCACTCTGGGAAAAATCTTCTTGCTATCCACCCTGTCTACACCTCTCATGATTTTGTAGACCTCAATCAGGTTCCCCCCTCAACCTCCATCTTTCTAATGTAAATAATCCTAATCTACTCAACCTCTCTTCATAGCTAGCGCCCTCCATACCAGGCAACATCCTGGTGAACCTCCTCTGCACCCTCTCCAAAGCATCCACATCCTTTTGGTAATGTGGTGACCAGAACTGTACGCAGTATTCCAAATGTGGTTGAACCAAAGTCCTATACAACTGTAACATGACCTGCCAACTCTTGTACTCAATACCCCGTCCGATGAATGAAAGCATGCCGTATGCCTTCTTGACCACTCTATCAACCTGCGTTGCCACCTTCACGGTACAATGGACCTGAACACCCAGATCTCTCTGTGCATCAATTTTCCCCAGGGCTTTTCCATTTACCATATAGTTCGCTCTTGAATTGGATCTTCCAAAATGCATCACCTCGCATTTGCCTGGATTGAACTCCATCTGCCATTTCTCCGCCCAACTCTCCAATCTATCTATATTCTGCTGCATTCTCTGACAGTCCCCTTCACTATCTGCTACTCCACCAATCTTAGTGTTGTCTGCAAACTTGCTGATCAGACCATCTATACCTTCCTCCAGATCATTTATGTATATCACAAACAACAGTGGTCCCAACACAGATCCCTGTGGAACACCACTGGTCACAGTTTTCCATTTTGAGAAACGCACTTCCACTACAATTCTCTGTCTCCTGTTGCCCAGCCAGTTCCCTATCCATCTAGCTAGTACACCCTGGACCCCATGCAACTTCACTTTCTCCATCAGCCTACCATGGGGAACCTTATCAAACGCCTTACTGAAGTCCATGTATATGACATCCACGGCCCTTCCCTCATCTATCAACTTTGTCACTTCCTCAAAGAATTTTAAATTAAATTAAATTTTAAATCCTAAATCCTAAATTAAATCCTATTTTAAATCCCATTTTAACTTTAAATCCTAAATTAAATTTTTTAGAACATTTTCGTTTCTGTTATGGCAGATAAGGTGAATTTAAATACAGTTCCAAAACAAAAAAAAATGAAGGGCTACAGGAAAAGAATGGAAAAACGGGACTAATTGGATTTTCAAAAATTTGTTTTTATTCATTCACAGGATGAGGGGCGTCGCTGGCCGGGCCAGCAGTTACTGCGCGTCCCCAATCGCCCAGAGGGCAGTTAAGAGTCAACCACATTGCTGCGGGTCTGGAGTCACATGTAGGCCAGACCAGGTAAGGATGGCAGTTTCCTTCCCTAAAGGACATTAGTGAACCAGATGGGTTTTTCCCAACGGTCAGCAGGTTACATGGTGCCAGAGTAGGTTTTTAAAAAATTCCAGATTTTTGCTAAATTCAAATTTTGAAAACCATCTATCATGGTGATAGTCAAACCTTTTCCCCCAAGATCATTAGCCTATGTTTCTGTGTTGCTAAGCCAGTGACATTACCATTATATTACTGCCTTCCCAAATGGATTGTTCTTACAAAAAGAGTTAGGGCAGACAAGATGGACCAAATGGCCTTGAGCCACTTTGTAAGATTATGGTGGTATTTCAGTGTGCTACCATTTCTCAATAACGTGTGATTGACCTGTACTTAAAACATTAATTTTACAATTCCTGTTTCTCATCAATCATGGCAATAAGCCTGAAGTATCTGCAACCGTTATCAAAGAACATTTGGAAATCCTGTATGAATTTTTCTGTGGGCCTGAAGTGCATTACTAATATTTAATTCTGACCTTCCGTCCATCAAGCTGACTTTTAAAGAGCATGACAAACTCACCACGGAATAAAATTTTGTAAGTTCTTTGATCCAATGTTATCTGGATGGAGTTTTGCAAATTCTGTTGATACTGACTCTCAATGTCAGCGCTTCTGTTGCCCTGCTAATAAAGAGATTAGTTACAGTCATTAGCTACAAAACATTACTAGCTCTGATGCACCACAAAAGCAAGTAAAGAAGATAACATAAGGAATAGGAAGAGGCCATTCAGCCCTTTAATCCTGTCCTGGCATGGAATAATGGCTGACTTGTAGCTGAATGCCATTTACTCATATTTGTTTATATTCTGTGATACCCTCAGCTAAAAAATGACAATTGATCCCAGCCCTGAAAGATCTAACTGACTCCCAGCATTCAATTTATTTTGGTGAAGGGGGCAGATTCTAGATTTCCACAACGTGGGGCAGCTCGGTGGCTCAGTGGTTGGCACTGGTGCCTCACAGTACCAGGGACCCGGGTTTGTATTCCACCCTTGGGTTACTGTCTGTGTGGAGTTTCCATGTTCTTCCTGTATCTGTGTGGGCTTCCGCTGGGTGCTCCGGTTCCCTCCCACAGTCCAAAGATGTGCAGATTAGGTGGATTGGCCATGCTAAATTGCCCATAGTGTCAAGGGATGTGCAGGCTAGGTGGATTTGTCATGAGAAATGCAGGGTTACAGGGATAGGGTATGGAAGTGGGTCTGGGTGGGATGGTCTTCAGTGGGCCAGTGTGGACTTGATGGGTGGAATGGCCTAGTTCCACACTGTAGGGATTCTGTGAACCTTTGATGTGAACAAATGGTTCTTGATTCCGCCCCCCCCACATAGTCTGGCTCTAATTTTCTGCTACCATTGAGCAGCAGTTAGACAGAGCAGATGGAAAGATTGGAAGGGAATTCTAGAGTGAAGTGTCCCGACCACTCTGCACCATTAATGGAATGGGATGATGCAACAAAGACTAGTGTCAGCACAAACGGTTGGCAAAGTTTTCAGACAAAGGCTCTAGAGGAATTGATGCATGATGCCAGCTTTTGACTCAATTTGTTGTATCTTAAACTCAGAGTCTGAAGCTGGGAGTTCAAGACTCAGTCCACTACAAAGTCTTGGTTAACACACCCAGTTGGGCTGCAAGAGAGACAGTAGAAACTGCCGATGCTGGAGTCTGAGATAACAAGGTGTGGAGCTGGATGAACACAGCAGGCCAGGCAACAGCAGAGGAGCAGGAAAGCTGACGTTTCGGGTCTGGACCCTTCTTCAGAAAATGAAGAAGGGTCCAGACGCGAAATGTCAGCTTTCCTGCTCCTTTGATGTTGCCTGGCCTGCTGTGCTCATCCAGTCAGGCTGCAGGTGTGTTGCATTGCATGAAGTTCTAGCTTATAGTACCCCGTCAGTTGGCAGTAAAAGATCCCACAGCACTTGAAGAGCAGGTCAATGCTCTAAATGAAATACTTCCTTCTGAAAAGATGACCTGGTCCCTTATCATATTGCTCTCTGTAGGCCTTTGCTCTGTGCAAATTAGTTGTTGCAAATGCCACACTAAAACAGCGAACAAAACCAGACATCCTGAGGACATGAAAGGCACTACAGAATTGCAAGTTATTCATTTAAATAACAATGCAATCTTTGAAGTAAACCTGTTGTGTAATGGGTGACAGTTGGTAATAGAGAGGAGAGGACTTGAAGTGGGGTAGGATGCAACCAGTGGTGCTTTGGGAAGAAGAGATTGTACTGGGTGCATTAAAAGGAAGTCAATGAGGGCAAGGTCACAAACAGGGCTTTGATCCTGGGTAGGATATAAACCTGTTCTCTTACCTTGTCTGAAAAGAGTTTCCAATTGTGTTTATAATGGTAATACCACAGCCATTCATCCTTCACTGGGGAATCACCGAGAGTCTTACGCCGAACTTTGAGGTCTTTTCCACGCACTTTCATTTTATTAAAATCAATTGAGATCATGCTGAAAAATATGGAACATTTTTAAAATTTTTTTTTCTAATCAAGAACCCTTACAGCAACATTATTTTTATCAACCTGTTCAGGGATGTTACTATATGCCTCTAGAGCAGATGGGACTTGAACCTAGGACTCCTGGTTCAGAGGCAGTGACACTACCACTGTGCCAGAAGACCCTACAAATCTTTAGCTAACAATGCAGTACAGCTGTACATCGATCGTAAATGCCACACAGTACATTGGCTAATTACCACAGTGGGCAGAATGTAGTGCCCTCTCCCATGGCACTTACCCATTGAGAGAATCTTACCCCCTCCCCCCCAGCCTCTGTATGTGATGGAAAGGCCCCATCACCAGTTGAGGTCCTTAATGTGGGTAAATAATGTGCACTCAAGGGCTTCACCCCTACCCCCCACAAGATTCACACAGCGGTGGGCACGTAGTGCAAAAATGGAACCTCGGTAAAATTGCTTGCAGGCTTCTCATAGGGGTAGGAAAGATCCTTGTTCAAGAAGGGTTTCTCCCTCCCCACAGACTCCCTTCCACCATCATTCAGCCACGTTGTTAAGATTATTCTTGACTGAGATAGACAAAGTTTTAATCAGTATTAGGGGGAAAGGCAGGAAAGTGGACTTGAGGATTATCAGATCAGCCATGAACTGATTAATGGCGAAGCAGAGGCAATGGGCTGAATGGCCTATATTGGCTCCTGCATCTTATAGTCCTAGTTGTTGTCTGACAGCTCACTGACTGGTTTCAGCTGGAGTGGATTTGGAGGAGAAAGAGGTGGTGTCCTCTCTAATTAAATAAAAGTCATGTGCCACATACGGATCAGCATGTAATCATAGAATGAAACAGCAGCGGGGGAGAGCCATCTAGTCAATGCCAGACCCACTCTTTGGCCTTTACCCTGCAAATGTTACCTTTGTGTTTTAGTCAATTTAGTTTTGAAAGTTATGAATCTTCTTGCTTTCAGACAATGCAGTCCCTATCACAGCAATTCACGTGAAGAAATGTTCCCTTATATTGCCTCGTGTTTTATTGCATTCTGTCAACATCTCCTTCATTGCTTCTTTATATCTCTTATTGATCCATCAGTGACTTTGTAAATCATTTTATTCCATTTAATTCTATTTCCTCAGGTGTGGATCATGCAAACAGGAGGACTCTTGCCTGGGACAGTCCCGATTAACTTATCAAATTTTCACCTACTTCTCGAGGTAACTTGGGATAGAAACCATTAGCTTTGGGAATGATTGATCAGTCATTGTTCACCAATCATTTTACCAGTTCATAGTTTAGCCCAGTTTATGGCAGTCAACCCCTGTCTCATTGCTTTAAGGTCAACCTCATTTGAGTTTGTCACTCACACTCTCTTTCTCAAACCCATTACTAAATTTCATCATATTATGGCACTGTATCAGTATTAAATTGTTGACTAATTCAGGATTATTTACAGTCATTTATGGGATAGCAGAATGCCATTTGGCCCATTGAGACCATGCTGACCCCCCGTGGAGTATTTCAGACGGTATAACTCCCCTCTCTGAACACCACTTTGTGAGGAGTTAGTAAGTACTGCAGATGCTGGAGTCAGAGTCAACACAGTGTGGAGCTGGAGGAACACAGCACGTCAGGCAGCAGAGGAGCAAAGATGACATTTCGAGTTTACAGCCTTCACTTCCTCACTGATATTATTTAATCTATGATGGTGTGTTGTCTTGTGGTTCAGGAATACTTTATTCCAGAAAGTTATTCTAAATACACTCAAAACATTCAGGGACTTTGGGACTTGAACTGTTTCATTTTCACCAGGTTATGTAGAAATTGATCACTCTGATTTTATGACAGAATGCTCCAATATCCACCTTAATATCTTGGAGACATGAAGGACTGCAGATGCTGGAAGGTAGAGTGTATAGGTATGAGGCTCCCACTCCTTATGTTATCGTCTACACTTGCTTTTGTGGTGCATCACAGTTAGTAATGTTTTGTAGCTAATGACTGTAATTAATCTCTTTATTAGCAGGGTAGCAGAAGTGCTGACATCTGAGAGTCAGTATCAACAGAATTTGCAAACCTCCATCCAGATTACATTGAATCAAAGATCTTACAAGATTTTATTCCACGTTGAGTTTATGCCATGCTGTTTTGGCTCAAAACCTTGACTTACCTGCTCCTCAGGTGCTGTCTGACGTGCTGTACTTTTCCAGCCTCACATCTATAGAATGCATGTTAATACTTCCACCTGCAGCTCCGTAGACCAGGGTTTTGCATCCTTTTCTGTGTGGCATGAGTGTTCCTTGCCACTTACTAACCTCAGCCTGGGTGCTGTCCAGGTCTTGCCTGATATAGACTGCTTCAGAATCTGAAGGATCTCACATTGTGAGAGAACATTCTGTTCCATCAGGGAACATCTCACTCCTGACTTCATGGTGAAGGGGAAGTCACTGATGGAGCCACCAGAGATAGAAAACCTCAACCAAGCTCTGAGACCTGTGGATGTCAATGTTAGATACCTTGCCTGAATTATAATCTACTGCTTTATATCCCGGTAATCCATGGGACTCTCAGTAGCTCACCCGTATTTTGTGTGGTAAAGTTTCATGCCTTTTGTTCCAGGCATCGAGTACTGAGCCTCGATCACATGGTCGTGCTTGATATCATTCCATTCTTTGCCATTCTGAATCTGCCATCGGTAATGTTTCTCGCTTGGCTGCCTTCTGCCTCCTGTGGATTTGGAAGGTAACACTTCAGATAGGACAAGAAGAATCACAAAAGCACTTTACTGTTCCACAATTCTCAGGGAGAGAGAGAACGAGAGAGACAGATGGAGAGACAGAGAGACAGATGGAGAGACGGAGAGACAGATGCACCATGGACTGGCTGATCATGTTGTGGCATTCCTCCACTAAGCTTGCAAGGATGACCCTGAGCTTCCTCCTCATTTTAATTCTGTGTCACCATGCCCATTCACACATTCTAATGATGCTCGAGTCTTGAGCAGTGGCACATTATCTCTCAATGAGCCAATTCACAAACTACTGGACTCAGCAATTTCAATAACTTCAGATCAGAACTGTGTTGAGGGAGGAGGAGGGTGGTATTGGAGGAGTTGCTGGTAATGCCTCTGCTGTTGCTATTTACACCTCCTCTTGATCTTGCTACTGTTGATCCAATCCGTGAAGATGACAGGTCAGCACTCCTCCGACGCTGCCCAATGGCCTTGGAGGAGGTGGCAATAGAGGTGTTATCTTCCACGCCTTCATGTGTCCCATGCCAAACCTCCTTTCTGCTTTGTCCCATTATCCCTTCTGTCACTAAATCACTCCAAACTTTGTCTCCTGGGACATAGTGGGCTTGTCATGGTAAGTCTTTGCACAGCTTGGAGCCTAGGAAATGGAAGTTGTTACAACCGTGTGTGGAAAAACTAAAATTGTTAATGCACAAGAGGCCAAAATTGAAGGAGTGTAGATATCTTGGAGGATTACTCAAACATTCAGTTCCTCAGCCATTTCCTTGTTCCCTACGACTATCTCTCCACTGTCATTTTCAAGTGGTCCAATGTCCACTTTTGCCTCTCTTTTGTCATTTATATATCTAAAGTCCTTTATATATCTAAAGTCCTCCTTTATATTACTGGCTAGCTTACCCTCATATTTAATCTTCTCCCTTCTAGAAACTCCTGCCATTGCTGTTCCACTATCTTTCCTGCTAAGTTCCTCTCCCAGTCAATTCTGCCCAGCTCCTCCCTCATGCCTCTGTAGTTGCCTTTATTCAGCTGTAAAGGCTGTGGAGGCCAGGTCATTGAGTATATCTGAGATGGAGATAGATACGTTCTTGATTGTCAAGGGGATCAAGGGTTATGGGAAGAAAGCGGGAGAATGGGGTTTGAGAAATGTATCAGCCATGATTGAATGGTGGAGCAGACTCGATGGGCTGAATGGCCTAATTTCTGCTCCTATGTCTTATGGTCTAATCTGTTGACCAAGTTCAGCATCGGTGGAGGGATTCATAATGGAATGCTCAAAGAGGCCAGGATTTGGGAGTGTGGAGATTTGAGAGGGTTCAAGGAAGTTACAGAAGTTTGGATTGGAAGGATTTCAGATCACGCTGATACTTGTAAAAGAAAACGTTGCTATGGATGCTTTCAATCGCACAGTCTGCCTGATAAGCAAACTCACTTCTTGGTGTGTCTTCATTTGATGATGAGGAAGATTCAGAGACAGATCTCATCCTGTGGCTCAATCTGCAATTTTCGCCATATCTGCAATTTCCGTTGAGGTAATATTTGCAAACATGCAGATACGTACAGTTCCTGTTCTTGCATTTACCTTTGTTGTAAAACTTGCACGGCTGTAAGGAAAACAAAGTATTGACATTAAAACACATACTGAAGATTCCAAGATAACAAGGTGTAGAGCTGGATGAACACAGCAGGCCAAGCAGCATCAGAGGAGCAGGAAGGCTGACGTTTCGGGCCTAGACCCTTCTTCAGAAATGGGGGAGGGGAA